TTACAAAGTTAAATAAAAATAAACTTACATTTGTTGCGGTGGATAACTCAGGATTACGGTAAAGTGACGTCATTGTTTCTGACTCAACTTCTATGTTGTTCAGTTTTTCATTGAATTTACTTGATATTAAACCTGTTTATTGGTAACATTCTGCGATAGCAGTAGGTACAGTAATTGCTTTTACACGTGGTTCTTTAATTTGAGGAAGTTGGTACTGGAAAGTCCTTGAAAGGTCCTTGAATTTGATGTTGGCCAAGGTGTGGGAACCCTGTTATTGAAAAAGCTGTGCTGGCCCTGGGATGTTTTTTAATACATCAGTTGCTTTTGTTTCTCCTCCAACATCTATTGGCTCCAAAGGTTTTTTTAATAATAGTCCTGATGTCCATCCATCCATCCATCCATTTTCTGTACACGCTTCTTCCTTTTCAGGGTTGCGTGGGTCATAAACCTGATTTCCCACATTATCAGTTTTTGATACATCCATTTTCTTTTTTACAAAGAAACTCGAGACTTTTGAATAAAACAGTAATGTAGGCTGTTGAAGCTAATAATCTGCTTTAATCCTAACATATTTGTAAATGTAAATGTTCGAACTTGATCAGTTGCATCTTTGCTTGAGGCGATTTCTTGTTAAGAAAATAGTTTTACGTTAAAACTATACAGCTAAAACTTTTAACTATTGCAGTTTAGTAATTACGGGTAACATGGGTTTATTAGGGTTATATAAAACAGCTTTGTAAACCCAAATACTACAAATGTTTGCCACCTAGTTTAGTTATTAGCTAATATGAAAGTTGGGTCATTTCATGTTAAGAGTTTTTATTGTTTTTTTTTCTTTGCTACAGAGTGGTGATGGTGTGAAGGAGCAAAACATTTAATCCTCATGTTAGTCCACCAGGGACTTCACACCASCCTGACTTGTTGATCTACATTCTGACACTAATCTGTGTTTTTAAGGATTTATATACGTTTATTGTTCAGTTTGCCGCTTTCTAACGAACTTAAGACAATTCATTTCACATTTCCTGGATGGCTTTAATCTTAGACACAACAAATCCTGAAGGGTACACTGTACTCCAGCTGAACAGAATCTAATGTCCTGATGTTGTCATCACCCAAGAACCAGAGATTAAACATCATCCATTTCTGACTTCCTGTGTGCGGTGTTGTTCTTAACCCTCCAGGTCTTCATCCATCTATTGTTCCTCTTCCTTCATCTGTGGTTAGAGAAGAAAAGCCTTTTATTGGGTGTATTTTCCTTTTCTTTTGCCCTCTGGTCCTATTAGGAATTTATTTTAAAAAACCCATCTTAAATCATTTAATTCAGAGCAATTAAAATTTGAAGTGCAGTATTTATAATTCATGGCTGCCCAAGATAAAAGCCCTTTAATCCTTGAATATATTAATTCTAATGGGCACTGTGATGGGCAGCAGAGAGCCGGGCATGTCCACTATTGTTAGTCCTCGCTGTGTCAGTGCTGGGAGCAGACCTGGGACCAGCACTCCCAACAAATCCAGCCCGATGAATTCCAAACCGCCGTTCAGACTGATCCAGAGCGTCAGCAGCCTCGGTCAGAGGCCACAGCAGCAAAATGTTTACAAGGTTTCACACTGACGGCTCAGGAAAAGGTTGGACAAAGAACTTTCTCTTCTCTCATACAGCACCATGTTTTAGTTGTGACAACCATTTTGAATCTTTATTTCACGTGTTTAGCCTTGAGGTAATTTTTTTAAACATAAAATAAAAGCGTAATGATGCAGTTGTTCTGAAACCTTTAGAAACTGATTCCATCATCTTGGACCAAAGGAGAAAAGTCCTGCAGCATAAAAGCCCAAACAGAATCCCAGTAAATGACACTGTTCAGTCATTCATCTCAACAAAAGGCAGCTTTAATGAAAAGTGAGTCTGTTTAACAGGCTCAACTGGACACAAATAGAAACTGTTTGTTTGCAGATTGAAACTCAGATGTCCAAAAGTGTTTCTGGTGACCTGGTCTAAAGGCTCTGCTGAAGAACTGTACTTAACCTCTGGTTTGGAATCTAGCTTTTCATGATTCTGATTGACCTTTGGTCAGATTGATCCTCAAATCTGACCCCTGCTTGGTCTTTTTAGATCTTTATATTTAACAGTATTATGAGTTCAAGTGTCTGTTTGCCATTTGTATTTTCACACACCGAGAACGAAATCCATATGCTGAGTTTTCAAGCCAGACATAAAGACAAAATGAAGTTAAAAAATCTCAAAATATGCACATGAAGACAGAAGAATAAATATAATAAAAACAGAAGCATAATGATAATAATTCTAATAATAATAATAATAATAGAAAGTACCCAAAAAGAACTACAGAGGTCAATGTAGACCAACATAGAACAAACCAATGGCTCAGGACAATAGGGTTGAAAGCTGAAACAAGTAGTACAGGATCAGAGCCTGGCTATGTCCTGTCATCATCAAATCATRAAAGATGAGAAAAAGCTTTTGTGAAAACTGCTTTCATGTGTTTTAGTGTATTTACTCTTCCTCAGGTTGGATGGAGTGTTTTTATGTTTTAGAAAAAAAATGCTCAATGCTGGTCAATTCTGGCAGAGCAGAAAACAGTCTGCCAGAAAAAAAACATCAAGTTCACCAGAGCAACTAACATCTGAAGGAATCAAAACACTTGATGGGGGGAAAACTCCCTGTCTTTTCTTAGAAAGAGCAAAGAAGTGTGCATATTTGAATCAAATGAAGCTAAGATTTGTGTGGAATCTGAAAGTGTTCTATCACTGTTTGAAAGGATTCGCACCAACAGAGCAACTGCTTTAACAAGACGTTCAGTAATAATTGAGACACAAAGAGAAATCTTGTGAAGTGCAGAGATGCATCTGGAATCCTGGAGTCCAGCTTCAGTCTGGASCTCCTCCCTGCATGTTTAATGGATGATGGCAGCTGGAGCAGGTCAGGTGTCTGAGATGCAGGTTGAATATRGGACATTGTTTCAAGTGTTATAGCTGAAGTATCTACACTCTGAGCTGCGATTGTCACTGCAACAGTGATGAAGAGAAAATGTCAGAGGAGGAAAACACAACCTAACGCCTTTATATGAAATGTGTCTTTCTTACTTCTTTTCTTGTCTCATTTCCTTTTCCTGTCCTGCTCTGACGTGACCCAGAAACAGAAAAATGGTCCGAGACTGACCATCCTTTTCTTTCTTGCTTGCTTGCTTTCCTTCTCCTCGCGGGGAGCAGGAACATCACTCTCTATTCTGCAGGTCAGAGAGGGAACAATTAAGTGTGGAGGGCGCCGGGAGTCGCTGACAGGTGATGAATGGCTGAGCTGGCTGCAAGTGACAATATGCAGACAAGCCAGATCATTTGCAAATGGATGTGGGGAGATGGAGGATGGGCGGAGTGGGGTAGTGGAAGGAGGCGAGCGGAGTCGGGGGCAGGAGGAGGAGGGGGGGGGGGTTAACCCTTCCAGGATCATTTCTCAGCAGCAGGAGGAGGTGGAGGAGACGCAGCCACCTGCCCAGCAGAGAGCCTCATTTTTTAGAGCTGATGGAGGCCCGMGGACATGTCTCTGCCGTGGGGAAAACACCGCAGGTATCAGCTCATCACCGTGTTGACCAACAGCAACAAAGAGGCTCAGCTTTACCTCGAACCGCCTTCCAGCTGGGAAACAGCAGAGTTTTGGTTCTTTATTACTGGTTCTAACAGCAGAACATTTATATTTAAATCTGTGTCCCTTAGCTCCTCCATCCTGTCTTCTTATTTCCACCTCAGTCTCTCCTTTTATCCCATTCACCTCCATATTTAGCCTTCCTCCTGCTCTCACAAAGGTTACATGCAGGAGCTTTATTTAGTCACCTGACATGTCGATCAATCACTTACATGATCTTTAATGTCGCTAACAAGATGGATTTGCAGCAGAGGACATCTGAGCTACACGCAAATGTGATGTCCTTGTTCTGTCTGTCTGCAGTCAAGGTGCTTGCTTTCCGTTCGGCAGTTTTACTTATTAGGAAATGTATAAATAAATCTAGTTTTTGTATCAAGTTCTAACATAAAACTGAAACGCTCTCAGATACATAATTACCAAAACCAGTAGCTTGATCAACAGTTTTCACCCTGTCAGCATCACCTATGGGG